CGAATGCCACTAGCAGATTTTTCAGAGCTTGAATGGTTATTCAAAATAACACTAACCTCACCTTACATCTTTTTTAATCAAAATGATTTCGTTTCCAAAATTACAAACAACGGGATTCTTCTCACGTCCTTTAATCCCTTCAAAGAAAATACTGTTCAAGTATTACGAATACCAGGGCACACTGGTAACATGTTAGCTCCAGTCGGCTTGAATGCTAGTTTATTCATTCGCAGAATTTACGATTACCAACGTGGTTTTTTTCAGAAAATTATGGTATGGAATCACACACCACGCTAGTTATAGACGTATATCTCGCAGAGATGTCCAGTCCAAGAATACTTTTAGACGGTCTGAGAATAATTTGGTTTAAAAGACAAGAGAATAAACGTTGCCGAATCATAATAAGACAAGGTTATAAACCATTAATAAGCCTAGATGGGGTAAGTATTTTAGACCAAAACATACCTAATAATGTCTCACCCATTTACCTGTACAATAATCTAAACATTATAAGCCTCAAATATATTAATAAAAAATTAAATGACATATAATTAAAAAATAATTTATAAAATATATTATAAACACATAAAATGGGGCTATACCCAGCCATAGATGAAGAAGGAAATATAAAAGGAAGTGTAGAAGGGTTTCGACTTAAACAGATATGTGAAATAAAACGTCAGCTAGAACAAGACCGTGATATTCGGATATTTCGAAGGCATACATGCTAGTGCTACACATCCAAAAATACTGAATAGAGGTTTTTGGTGGAAACTACATGGAAAAAAAAAATCTATTGCCACTATTTATGGGGCTGAGCTTTAAACCACACACACTTATGGCAACTAGCATGGGATTAGGAGCAGTAGGAGTTGGATTGTTGACCACCATCGTAGCCGCACCAGTGGTGTTAGGCCTTGAAATAACAGCTGTAGTGACAGGAATAGCTGGGTCAGTGTTTAAATTTGTATCTCGCAAATTGAATCGTAAAGCTAAGAAACACGATGAAATTAGAATTCTTGCTGAAGCAAAGTTAAACACGATAGAAGACCATATTTCCACCGCACTCAATGATAATAAAATCTCAGAGGAAGAGTTTCGTTTGATCCTATGTGAACTCGAAAAATATAAAAAAATGAAAGAAGAGATTCGATCAAAGTTTTATCAAAAAAGTTCTGCTATCGGCGAGAATGAGAAAAAAACAACAACATAAACCAAGGGATACAACAAGCCCAACAAGCATTTATTACGAAAACCAAAGACAGCATAGAAGATACACGTTAAATTGTTTTGCTGAAGTCAATATTTTAAATTGATGTGATCTTATATAGGATGACCCCATACACCATAGTCTTACTCTTTCGAGTAAGACTATGGATACTTTTTACAGGGGAGATAAAAAGTAGTTGTGTTATGGGTTTATGGTCCCGTACCACATAGTCTTTCTAGTAAGACTGTGGCTACTTTTTTACAGGGGAGATGAAAAGTAGTTGTGTTATGGATTTATAAATTAATATGAGTTAGGAATAGATACTTATTGATTCCTTGCCTTATATAGGCTTGTCCCGTACTCCCATTGTTTATACTACTACTGGTAATATTTCTCCAAACAAGACAGAATAGCTTGAATTTACTCCTTTTGTCCTGCACCTGGTAACATTTCTCCAAACAAGACAGAATAGCTTAAATAGCCCTTAACACGCCTTTTGTTCTGCACCTGATAACACTTCTCCAAACAAGACAGAATAGCTTAAATAGCCCTTAACACGCCTTTGTTCTGCACCTGATAACATTTCTCCAAACAAGACAGAATAGCTTAAATAGCCCTTAACACGCCTTTTGTCCTGCACCTGATAACATTTCTCCAAACAAGACAGAATAGCTTAAATAGCCCTTAACACGCCTTTTGTTCTGCACCTGGTTCAAAGAACGTTAAGTTGCAAATGTTAAGAATGTGGTGACAAGACCAGTGTGTGAATTTTGGATGGAAATGGATTCCGTCTAACTATACAGTCATTTATAAACCACCAGTATTCATGAGACGCCCTTGTGTGTACACATTTTATTCTTTTAAAACATATTGATCACCACATCCACGGAGAGATCGAATATACAGGACCGTCAATGTTTCCAAACACTTTCATAGGATTTGTTGACTGTATTACTGTTTTAGCAATTGCTTACCTCAGACATACACTTAATAGAGATGTGATCGCTGAACCTTTACACAGCATACGTTGTGTGTGTGACGGCCCAGAATGTATTGGGAATTGCAAATCACTGAGTATTGTTGCAGGGTCTGATGGTCGTGGTATTAAATTGCAATTAGTTCAGATTGTTATGGTTGGTTTGTCGCGGTATGCTCGAGGTTCCAACAAACAAAGATGCAGTAATTTAATTCTGTCTTTACTTTTTAATACGTTCATTGACAGAACATCATCTGTGGGCTTTGGGATCGCCCAGTCTATTATTGACTACGATCTGAACTCAGAGTTGAAGTTCAGAATGATTGATGGGTGTTATACAGCATACATCGCTAGGCCCAACTTGATGCATTTGAACTGAACCACAGCATCAACTTTTGAAAGAGACCCCTTGGATATCATGACTATACAAAGAGGATTCCTACACAAGCCAGATACTTTTAAAAATGTTTCAATCGGATTTAATTGCATTATTGTGAAAAAGAGAGTGGAAAACCAAGAGGCTTGTGTACTCTGTATGAGAAGCCAGTCTTTATATAGAGCACGAGATCACATTTGACAAACTCTATCATGAGAACTAGTATTCTTGATTCATTACATACAGTATAACTTCACAAGAGAACGTATTTGTTATCTTTTTAAACTGTCAATCACATATCCAGGTGAGCTACTTCATCCTGGCAGTATTGTATTATTTAATTTGTGTTGACTGAAGTATTTCATATAAAAGGGGAGAATAAGATTTTCAAGCGAGTAGGGATGGACAAGCACACCATGGCATGACCACATTTAACTGTTAGTCAGGTGAGCTAAAAATCGGTAGCAAAACCTTGCTTTCTTACATCGCCTTGCAAGATAAAGTATCAATGAAAAGTAAACTCTGATAAACCTTTACCAATTTATTGATAATGTAACAGGGTACAGGGATAGAAACAATATAGAATAATTACACCGCATTGCGTCTAGTAAAGGCTTGGTGAAGGATTTCGTTTGAAAAAATGCTTTGCCCAGTGTACCTACAACCGCTTCCAATATATGACCTGACCTCTGCAAACACTTTCTGACACGACAGGTTTCAATTGTGTACTTTAATTTGAGTCAAAGCATTTTACAACATGCATATAAATAAAGTCTATAACATGGCGACTGCAACAAGAAACACAACAACGTGTTTTGAGACGAATCTGAACTATCCTTGAAGCAAACTAAGAAGAATGTCAAGCTTTAAGAAGTGCAGGCAAGCTACAATATTTTGATCTGGGATACCAAAAGACGATTGATAAAAAGGCACTGACATATACATATCTACTTCCTCCACAACTTTGAACCTGTGGACATTGTTATCTAAGCAAGCATACGATGGGAGGTCAAACCGTTTTGAGAACTCACTACCTAAGTTGTGAAACAGCCATGCTGCTTGTAGTATTGCACTGATCATTCAGGAGATACCTGTGAAAGTTTCAACACTTCGCAACAAACAGTATTAATATTGTGATCACTGGAAGGGAGATACCCTACTGATATCATGCAGAATTCTAAAACTGAGTACAGATCTGTAGTTCATGTTCTCACTCTAGAGGACACTAACGCAAGCAGCATCCACGAGTACAGTCCTGACCGACATTTGAAGTCTCATTTTCATGGAGGGCGATTTGCCAATGGTGAACTCAAGGCTACAACATAAGCTTGGTTTAGGGACCAGTCAAAAGACAGAAAGCGTCAAACAATTGTCTTGCTAGGTAAATAAACGTGCTACAAACAGTGCTACAAACAGTGCTACAAACATGTGCTACAAACAGTGCTACACACATGTGCTACACACAGTGCTACAAACAGTGCTACAAACAGTGCTACAAACAGTGCTACAAACATGTGCTACAAACATGTGCTACAAACATGTGCTACAAACATGTGCTACAAACAGTGCTACAAACATGTGCTACAAACAGGTGCTACAAACAGTCCTACAAACATGTGCTACAAACAGTGCTTCAAACATGTGCTTCAAACATGTGCTACAAACAGTGTTACAAACATGTGCTACAAAGAGTGCTACAAAGAGTGCTACAAAGATGTGCTACAACTGTGCTACAAGCAGTGCTACAAACATGTGCTACAAAGAGTGCTACAAAGATGTGCTACAAACAGTGCTACAAACATGTGCTACAAACATGTGCTACAAACAGTGCATTTGAGATGTGAAATCCTTGTAGGAATTCAACTGTGATGACCAATTATTGAAATACATGTATGGTTATGGGCATATGGTTTGTATAAGTCAAACATACAGCCAGTACGATGCCAAATAAAACATCCAAAGTATCCCCCATAACTCATCAATTTAAGGTTCAACTTGTTTAAAAATCAGGATACATACATTCTCTCAAAGACGGTTCAAATTCTCTCAAATGATTTGATATTAGTTCATAAAACATGAGGGAAAGTGATGTTGTTTCCTGTACTCTCGAGAACAGATGCATATAAAAGTACCCCAATACAACTATGCCTTACATTGTACACACAGTTTATAATATGCTCTATCATTTACTTAGTAAAGTAAAAGATTATATGGAAACATTTGCCAAAAATGTTTTCAGACAAAAGATACAGTTGAATAGGATAGCAATAGGACCTATAGGCCTGACATACAGCACTCTGTATGGAAATGTCAAGTACTGCCCAATGTGATAGCAAATGGGTATCTGGAATGTGATGTAATCCAATGTATTGTACGTATTCAGGATCTGATTGATAGATGTACTTCAACACTTGGTTATCTCAGTTTGATACAAGGGTTTAATGTCCCATGACCTTGACATTGCATACTCTCAACCGTATAGATGCTCCAGATACCCTGAGTTCGACGTACTGGTAGAACCCGGACAATGCCACACAGGAGAACTCCTGGACACTGTTAGCTTCAATGAGTCCTGATGTTTTGGAGCATTTGTCCGGACAGGAAGTCAACGGCCAACAGCCATTTCCGAGTGCCACTTCCAGGATTGCAATAGGGTCGTTGGCTGCAATGGGAACAAATACAGTATCGATACAAATAGTCTACCCATTGTGCCAAGTCAATGGGGCAAGTTTACAAGTAAAGACTAGTATCCAATCTTCATATCAATTGCCTACTCGTTGAGTGAGTTTGGATTAACGTTGCAGTCACAGAAGACGTTCCCAGTGTGAGGAAATGCAGTATAGAGGATTTAAGAAAATAGTTGATGGACAGGTCACAGTACAAATTTACGGATACAGTAAAAAATGCGAGCTGAGTGTTTCTACTAATATATTACATACCAACTTACATTGTAACAAATATGGCAGAGTAGCTGCAATGAAGTGTTTTCCAATGAGGCTGTCGTGTTGACTATTTTGAAAATAAGATTTGAACAAATTCAGCTATCATTATTAAAGTATAAAGTTGTAGCTTTATTGGTCGTGCGAGATTACCGAGAAGACGCTGTATAGTCAGCTGGCATCGAAATGGCAGTAACTATAACCAGTAGCCATACTCATCATTCAGGTTAAATGATGAAAAAGGAAATCCATTGCAAGGTTTTCCCAAGGTTTTGATGGCAGTTCTTTTGTCTGAATAGCTTCTGGATCGGCTTGCTGATCAGCTGACAACCGTTACATGTTTTGCAGAACGTTTCTGTATCCTTATCCATATTTGGCCACCACACCTGGGATCTCAAGTTCTGCTTTGTACCAACAACAACAAGGTACCCTTCATGTGCAAGTGACAAAACTCTGGGTCGCAAACACATGGGAATCACTATGCGATTACCTCGCAACACCAACTTCCCTATTCTGCACAATTCAGAACTCACAATCACATATTGCTTCAATTCACAATGATTCCAATCACTAGAATCAATACACTGACGCACCATTTCCAACTCATCATCCGTTGCAGAAGCTCCCTCGACTTCTCGAGTTGTTACAGCCTGAGGAGTTGCATCCACTGCTACAAACCTCACATATTCTTCAGTACTACTTGACACAGCTTGAGGTTTCACTAACTGTTCTCTCGAGAACCTGGACAACGGATCAGCTATGTTGCTCTTTCATGGTGCATACACAACCTTGAAGTTGTATTGATGGAGACGTAAAACCCAGCGTTCTATTCTAGCACAGGATTTGGACTTTGATGAGTATACTGCTTCTAGATCTGTGACCAACTCAAATGATATCCCATATATGTACGGGTGAAACTTCTCACACGCCAAAACTGAAGAAAGAGCCTCTTTTTCAGTAATTGAGTACCTGCGTTCCACATCACTGAGCGAACGACTTGCATATGAGATGATCCGCCATAATGTATCCATCTGTTGCTGAGCAAAGACTGCTCCAAGTCCAACAGGACTGGCGTCCACGATAACTTTTGTTTTAGCAGTTAGACTATAGTAGCCTAGGGTTTCACTACTTGCGAGGGCAGCTTTGAGTGACTCGAATGATTCAGCTTGTTCCTTTCCAAACACAAACGGCTGGTTTTTCCTTGTCAGTTGTCTCAACGGCTCTGCTAATGTGGCATAATCAGGGAGGAATCGAGAGCAGAAGTTTACTAGTCACAAGTTCGGACCTCGCTCACAATTTCAGGCTGTCTTGCGCTCACAACAGCTTCAACTTTGTTTTTGGTGATATCAATCCCCTGATCTGACAAATGGTGCCCCATAAACGTTATACTTGACTTCTTGAACTGACACTGGTCAACGTTTAAGGTTAAATTTGCTGATGAAAGTCTCTGAACGACTTGCTCAATCAAGCCGTTTGTCATACTCATCTGTGGAAGGACCATGGACAACAATGTCATCCGATATATTGGCAACCCATTGGATTCCTTGGAAGATTTTCTGGTTTTCATGCTGATATATCTCAGGTGCAGCATTTATCACAAATAGCAGCCGCTTATATCTATACAGTCCACAATGATTCACAAAAGTTGTAATGTTACGCGACTCAGGATGTAGCTCCAGCTGATGGAAGCCCCACTTCAGGTCTAGCTTTGAGAAGACCCTACTTTCACTCATGTCCTATAACATTTCATCTATTGTGGGTATAGGGTGCCTTTCTCTCAAGATAGCTTTGATGGCTCATATCCAAGCATAGCCTTATATCACCCGAGGCCTTTGGTACGATGACAACAGGATTCAGCCATGGGGTCGGTTCTTCCACCGGCTCAATAATATCCTGAACTTTGGACTCAACTTTTCCACGCAGTCCAAATGAAACACGTCGTATTGGCTGAGCAACGGGCTTAACTTCTGAATCATTTTTCAGCTTGATGTGCTTATTTTTCATTTTGCCAAGTCCAAGAAATACTTCAGGGTACTTGTTGAGGCACTCAGCAGGAATTTCTGATGAAGAACGCACTGAATTGATATTAAGTCCAATCTTCAGCGCACCAAGCTTCATAGCGGTTTCTTTGCTGAGGAGCGGTTCTGCCCTACCATCAATCACAGTGAACATGGCATCTGTCCTGTGATCCCCAGCTACTACTTCTGCTGTGGAAGCGCCTAGCGTTGGTGTCCTACTTGCATGTGGAAACAACTTTTTGCCACCTTCTGTGACACACACCTGATGTTCTTAGACTCGAAATAGTTCCACAAGTCAGCATCATTACTGTTACTGCCAGGGTCAACAGTAATGTCAACACCACCCACAGACAATGGAATGCTTCTCATAAGGAAAGCATAACCTTGGCCTTCATTATCTTCATTATCACTGCTATCTCTATCTGTTTTCTCAGTTTCTAAATGCTTCACATCACCACGGCCATGTGATTTCCTATTAGTTTTCTTGCCACTGTAACCACTTCTACCTCTCTTTTCTTTTGATCTAGATGACTTTCTGGATAAGTCTGAATAGCATTTAGAAGCAAAATGGTCAAACCCTTTACACCTTGGACATTGTTCACCTCTTGCCGGAAAAGTAGAATCTCTGCCGTAACTTTCCCACAGCGGAACTTTCTCTGTCTGATTAATGTTTTCTGTTCTATTATATTTTGGACCCTATCTGACTGTCCCCCTTTACAGTTCATATCTTTCATCTGTTCCTCGACAGCTTCAAATGTTGCAGCCATTTTCAACATTGATTTCAATGAAAGTTCACCTCTTTTTTCCAGAAACTTCCGTCTCAAATAGCCCGACTTATAATTTTCAACCACCTGATCACGAATCTGGTTTTCAACATCAGTATATTCACAGCTTCAGATGCCTCACGTAACATCGACACAGTTTCATCACTCTGCTTCATTTTCCTGAAAATATGGCGTCACATTATATTTGACAGTTAGATGGTCATTCAAAGCCTTTTTTCCCTTGAAATATTCTTGAGACGACCCCCGATCTTGCAACGCCTTAAAAACACCTCCAAGTCCAGCTCCGGCTATATACAACAGTAGTGCACGCCTTTGTGCCTGATTATCTGCTTTTCCTTCCTCAACAAATAATGCTTTGCTGTCAGCGTATGCCTCAAACTCCTCTATCCAAGCTTTCCAACGGATACTCACTGCGCTCGCATCACCAGAGAGGTCGAATGACGGCATCGCACGAACATCGCTAAATTCTGCCATTTTCTCACTGAACAGAGTTGCAATTTACCCTTTACAGCTTTCTTGTGAGTGTATGATCCTCGTCGCCAATTTTATTTTGCTGTATGGCCAATTCTGCCCCCACAGCGTCAAAGACGAACAAAACATTTCGTAGGTTTTTCGAAGGTAGACGTTTTCATCAGCCACACAGTGGCATGCAGGTTTTAGAATACGTTCAATAACACATGAAAACATCATGACTTTGTGAATGCCATAACTCAGAGATGGCTATCTGAACAGCAGTGGCAAAACGTTTATACTTAAAGAATGCATAATAGTTCCACGAGGCTAGGCTCCGGTTACGGAGGTTAGCATTTGCATATCTCAGAGAAGCACTGTCAGGTACATTTTGATTGGGCTGAACATGACTTAAATTGGACAGACATGGGCTGGGCCCAAACACATTTCTCTAGTGAATCGCTACTGTCTAAACTTTATGCACTGTGGTGTCCACGTTTGGCGAAGGTGAAGAGAAAGATTTCAGAATATTTAAGCCGAAAACAACCGTTATAGTGTGGGCTCACTCATGATCTGGGGATCTGTCAGTAGAGCTGGAGGAAACTGACTTCATCTGTTATTTTGCTGTGTGGCCTATTCAGTTGATCACAGCTTGTTTGATATGCCACTTAACAGTTTCGGTTTTCCGCCAACATGCTCCATGTATTACATCTCATCATCAACTCTATGTAGAGCATAGAAAACGATCCATAGGTCTTCCTTTCCCTACGCCTTCCCTTCAGGCAACTCTACAAGAACTCGGCACTGTTCCTACTGAAGAGTGGAACAATATTTCCTTGGCAAACGTTGACACTTATTGGGACAATGATACAACTGTAATCGCATCATATGGATCACATTCGCGCAACTGAGTTTTGACTTTTGGATCAAGAATTTGTTTCCTCGACCTTTGGAATTTTCAAATGAAGTCAGATACTTGTGATCTAACTGATTATGGGTCACACTTTGTTGGCTGGTATTGTGTGGTGGATGAGAATGTCCATTAATCATCTTTGGATATTTCAACAGATGCACACCAATCTACTTAATAGACCGATCCAGTCTGTCAATCAAAACGGGTGCATGCGTCAATTTTGGCCAATCGGCAGGCCGGGCGGGCTGTGTGGATTTGTCAGACTTATTTCCGGGGTCAAACGATGCCTCCGAAGCGATGTGCTTCGAATTATGCCATTTACACTCGCCATATCTATTACATATTGCTGCGATTTGATGTGTACCCTTAACAAAACCATTACGATCAAGACAAAAAAATTGAGGCGGATCAAGGAGCGCGAAAGGCCTAACGATCACTTAAATGTCTGCACCATCGTTCACGAAACCTACGTCTGCCTGCAGATGAGAATTTGCACGATTTTCCACACTTTCGCACATGTGCAAAATCATTACCAATAGATGACAACAAATTGCAGTTTAAGACTTTGCAAGTGTTATAAACACGGACAATTCTTGTAACTACAAAATTGTTTTTGCTTAACGTTTTTAGTCACAACTGGGCATTTAGTTGGTACGCCATAAAGCTGAAATGAGACAGGCGAGAAAGCCGTGACACAATGTAAACAAATCTGACAGCGATCTGATTTCGGTTAGGGTCGACCGAAATAGCAAAACTTGTTACATGAAAGAACAATGTGGCGGATATTGTCCCCTTAGCTCTCAGATATTTTTAAATTTGTCACATATTTTAGGATGTATTAAAGTTTCAAAAGCACAATCTGAAGGCCTACAGTATCTTGTTAACAGAGCAAACTATTCGAAAAGTAATCTTTTTTATTCAAACGGAAATATTGTTAGTGTCAACAGTTGCCTTTCATGCAATATCCAAGTATCAAAATTAATTCTTATGAGTGCCTATAAAAACCATGCTTTAAATATTTCAGAATTGTTATGAAGAGATGCATGGACATTAAATTAAATTACCTTCCTCCATGTTGATCGAACTATGTGAGAAGAATAGTGACTTTCTGGAGTATTGTACGGAGTGAAATAAAGTGTATATCTTAATTATGAGAACTTTATTTGAAGTTTTGTTACAACAGAAATTATTGACATATATTGGTACATTTTATGAGTATAATATTACAACTGTCATTTTCATTAATTCACTGGAAATGATAGTAAGGTATGTTTTAAGAATCCTGCTTTTTAAGTAAACGTGTATGGGAAATGAAATAAATAATAATATAATGAATAATAAATAATTATTTAATTGATTGACATATCAGATTCATATGATTTTAAGGCAGAACTAGGCAAACCAACACTATACATTATCATGGCAGGACAATCACTTAGTATTAACTTACTTTCTTGGCTCCTGCTTTTAGACATTCTCTTCCCTCAGAGGTTACTCCTGTCATATCTTCCTACGAACCTCTGTTCTAATACGGCCATATTTCCCAGTTCTCGTAAAATCCCCCAGCGGGAAAAGATCGCAACACGAATTATCTCCCTTCTTTCTATCCAATCAGAACACGTGTTACATCGACTTAGATTCAACTTGACTAACACAAGCAAATGTGAGGCCACAAATATCCCCCATCTGCCTGGGACTTGTGTTGATGTTACACACAAGACTTTTAATGGCTAGCTTGTCCGTTGTCAACGAGGGCGATGGAGACGCCATTGATCCGCCATAACATGACTGAGTTCTGTCTAGAAGAAACGTTTGCGCATCGCGCAGGGGAAGAGGTTTAGTTTTCTCGAAGCATATGGAAATTACCGAGGCCTTGCGAATGATCACTTTTGAAACAACGTCGCTGATTGAACAGAGGTTACTAAATCTGATTGCCTCCAATCACGAGTCTTGAACGCTCACACCATGAAAGGGCCGTATTAGAACATGAAGGTTACAAACTAGGAAGATATGATTGAAAGTAACGTCTGTCCAAACAACTGCAGAATGTATTTTATTGCTTATTTCACAACGCATGATACCCTCATTTTAAAATACACCCGACTTTGGAGCCGCTACAACAACTTCAATTTGACCAACGATCGCCCGAGAAGTGGAAGGCCAAGAATCACGACCCCCCTTCAAGATCGGTACATCCGGGTCCATCACCTGCGTAATCGGCATGCCCTACCAACCGTGACTGCCACACAAATACCAGGTTTGAGGAGAGTGTCAGCTCAAACGATTAGGAACCGTCTGAAAGAAGCGGGTTTACGTGCCTGTAGACCAGTTGTTGGACCTGTACTACGCCCCCTACATCGACGCCGACAACTCAGGTGGTGCAACAACGTAAGGATATGGACTTTACAAAACTGGAGGCGCATCTGGTTTTCTGATGAATCCCGTTTTCTTTTGCAACATCACGACGGAAGAAAACGTGTGTATAGGAGACGTCATGAACGTTTTGCGCCCATCTGCGTCCGACAGGGGACAGATTTGGCGGAGAAAGCATTATGGTTTGGGGATCCATCTCATACAACCAGAAATCAGACTTGGTGAACAGGGGTTGCGTTTCTATTTACTGATAAGATAATTCTGCAAGTGATTGCTAGTTCAACATCCAGAGAATTTGAAAAAGCAAAGGCTACGTTATGGTCGCACCTTGGTCAGATATTATCGAGTCCTGGAACAGAATAACTTACAAAAATCTCAGTTGACTTTTCATGTAACGGCATAAATATTGAAACATATATTTAAACCAGATTTGATGTAATTCTTATAAATCATCAGTTTTTGAGGAGGTTACTAATATTTGAAGACTGAGTCAAAGCCAGTGTTTATTAAGATGTTGGTTTTGGACAAATTGTTCAAGGTTTGTTGGTGTTTTTTTCGAAAATGAGCTTCATATTCAATTGCACACTGGTTTGTAGGAGTCGAGGCTTCAGGACATTTTCATGTGTGTTTTTCATAAACTTTTGTTATGACTTTTACCAAATTTTGAATCAACTTTACTATAATTTTTATGACACTAGAAAGTATCTCATGTCCTCTAGGGATATGGTCTCAGATCTAATAAAACAAAGATTATCATTAATGTCAATTAATGTTATTGTATTGACAAAAAAGCTTTGAACATAGGATATATTCTTTGCACCTTATTTACACTAGTAGTTAGCAGTTAAACATTTCTGATGAAAAAACAAATTGAATGCATTTGTATTTTGTGTAACATTCTATTTCAATGCTAGTTTATTGTTCGGATAACTGTGGATCCTCTGTTCAAAGATTTTGCATCACAGGTTTCCTATTTCTGGAAGATGGGTCAGTGTACAGTTGCAGACTGTATCTTGGATCTTCCTTGTGTTCTGGTGCTCTGACATACCTGTACATAAACGCTTGCAGTTCATGAAGTCAAGTATTGTGGAAGTTTGTATGTAAATTAGGATTCCACAAGAAAGTACTAATAGAAAAATAAAATGGAAAAGTTGATTAAAAAATGGATTTCCTTATATTCAGTGTCATTTTAGGATGGTGTAAAGATTTTGAAGAGGGAAACTTTACTGAGAATTGCTGCAGATCAGCTGTTGAATATTTGCTTCAGGGTATGTCCAGATACATCCATGGAAACATACTGTTTACAAGCCCAATCACATTTTCCAGATTTCCAAATAAGATCAAATATAGGTTATGCTGTGATTGATTTGTTTACATTAATTATATACAGACAAATAAGGTGCATGAAGTAGTAGACGGGAAATATTTTCTGCTTTGTAGTTACCATTCTTTTAATTCATTAAAAGATAGAAACCCATGTTTTCAGATTATTGATTTAACTAAATTTGAACAACGCCAACGGATAACTATAAGTAAAGACGCCACGCGCAGTGTTGACCATCTATTTATAGAAACGATCTGCAACATGAACATGTGGTTGTGTTCACGGTTTTCATAAAATTATTATGGGATTTTTTGAAGAAAAAAACCCCAAACAACAAAATTCAGTTACCCTTCCCCTGCTAATATCTTTGACGGAGGTGAATTGCCAGATAGATTAATTGATTCGAGAGAAAGTACGCTTCCTACTCTCAGGAGCTGGACGATTTTTCATCGGGCATGTAACTCATTTTCACTAGCCAATTGCAATCTGCCAGCTAAAATATATTAAAAATCACACACGTATAACTTGCCTCTTCAAATATCATTCACAAACGACGGCTACCAAAGTACCACAAGCCGATTTCATCAACAACGTTCGCAATCACGCACGTTTCGCTGGCGGTGACGCCATTGTGATCAGTCAGTGGCTGTCCCCCCTAACGTCAAAAACGAAGTGGGCGGGGTTATCGGCCGGGACTGGATCAGTCTATTGTTAAGTCGGCATTCTATAAGTTGGTGAGTCATAAACATACAACTTTATGAAGTGATTTACAAGACTCTTGTTTATTGGCTTCATCACCTGTGCTATTTGTTGATCTTAGTCCCCAACTGACCCCTTCCAAGTTTGTACCACGTGTTATTCCATTACATGCTGTTGTGACACCATATATGCTCCTCACCATTTGGTTGTAGTCGTTTAGCTTGATAACGAGGTTTGAATCTACATCAAAACGTCGGTCCATGCAATAAACAAGAAGCTGTCATCCATAAAGTTGTATGTTTCATTTTACAACTGGACTAATTACGTTTTGTAAGAGATCCTTAGCAAACATTAATTATCATAATATTTCTTACTCTAAGGGATCGGCCTTTCTGTTGCCTCATATGAGTGATAGACCTCGAGATTATGACGTCAACGACACCCCACACAACTGAAAAAGCCAGTGCTCGTCTTTCATATGACCTGTGGCATTCTAGATAAGATACGTTATGGCTGCTCCTGTTTTGCATATATAATGCCAACAGCGCTCTGTTATAAATACTCACTGCAACAATATTCCGAGGAAGTTGCTTGAACGGTATATATTTTGTAGGGTTGACCTAGGTCCACCTTCCACCAGGGGTCGGTACTGTATGCACTCCAGGCACAACCTCCAGTCAAGGCTTTCACTGGCGTGTATTGTGGGTATATAGTTGAACTGACACCAGCAGACTTGCCGAGAGCGACGTTGTAAACTGTAAATTGAAAATGGCACAATGTTGGTACTACTGACATTACAAATCTTCGTCTCCATTACTGCGGGTATGGCTGCGACTATCACTGGTAAGGAGTATTAAATAGTAAACAAAAACAGTGCTACGTACGTGGTGCGACATCACCTACACCAACAACAACGACAACAACATATCCTAATACCACTATTTGCACAAATGCACTTCCCAAATTCTGCATAAGTTCTGTAACGGATTTAATCATTCTATAAACACTTCCTGCTGAAGTGAAATGTCATCAGCTCGATTGTCTCATTCACAACTTTTTTTTATATGTTTTCATACCTTTAAACTATACATGTACGAAATAAATTTCTGGTTTCCATGGCAACTTTTCAGAACTTTTCCCTCTTGTCTGTTACTATCAAGTGGAATTGTCCTAAACACAAGTTTTCCGAAAGTTTAAGAAAGAAGGTTCTTTATTACTAATTTGTAAAAAAAGATTCTTTAAAGAGACTTTAATGGGGCATTGAGTAGAGTTTGCTCTTAGAGTTAGGTTTGTCGGGAAAGCATGTGCTGCAGATACGCACCCTCCATATGTCTTGTGTATGATGTGAATCCCTGCTCCGTCACTGCCGCTGATTCCATGAGGATAGAGGTCATGTCACACGTGTCATTAGCAAGGTAAAACGTGTAACCAGCACATCCCTGCACACCAGTACACTTCCGGGCACAATCAAGCACCGTCTGTGCCATCATTCTGTCCAGTAGATGACGATAGAATACCTCCCCTGTAGGGCTTCCAGTCAGTGAGAACTGGACTTGGGCACCGGACGCAGGGAGATGTTGTAGACACACCAAATGCAGGCTCAAGAAAAGCCCTACACCTGATAACATTTCTCCAAACATGACGAGTTGACTTTATGGAGCCCTGCAATACGCCTTCTGTTCTGCACCTGGTTCAAAGAACCTATATATTAATTTGTCAACCACCAGTATTCATGAGACATATCCTGGGAGGCATTGGAATTAAGGACCATCAATGTTCTCTAGGAAGTACTTTACTATTCTAGAAGTTGCTCACCAAAGACCTAAACTTGTTAGATATTCAAGATCGATCAAACCCTCACACATATTTTGGATTGTTCCAGCATCTGCTCATCGGGGAATTAAAATCACATTTGCTCCGTTGTCATGGTTGGTTTGCCAGTGTATTCTGGATGTTTCAATAAAGAGGTAATGTGTTGTATGCAAATGTGCTCGGCGGCATTAAGTGTTTGTTACAGTGGCTGCTTTGTAAATGGGTTTTGTGTTTACTTTTGAGTGGGATAGCACTATTGACCACTGTTTAAACTTTTAACAGTTGGCGCTTTGAGGGATTGATTTGTCTCATAGAGCGTGTATCACTAGGAGAGAGGGATATAACGGCTAGGAAATAATCATCCACTGATACAACACCCCTGAAGGTCCGGGTTAGAATATTGATCTTTAGTAACCCATGCTAGTCGTAAGAGGCGACTAACGGGATCGGTTGGTCAGGCTCGCTGACTTGGTTAACACATGTCATCGGTTTCCAATTGCGATGCTCATGCTGTTGATCACTGATTGTCTGGTCCAGATTCGATTATTTACAGACCGCCGTGATATATATATAGCTGGAATATTGCTGAGTGCGGCGTAAAACTCACTCACTCACTCCACTGATGCAACTGTATGACATTCAAACGGATTTACTGTGCATTGGTGTGAAAACAAGAATGAGAAGCTCACATGCGCGCGTATGCTACATAAACTTGAGGGATTTTGCTGTGTAAGCATGCGTGTGTGTGATATGTAAATGTATGCTATGTTAATTTGTGCCCGTATGTTATGTAAACGTGTACGTTTATGCTGTGTAAAACTGTGCCTGTATTATATGTAAACTTGTTTCCAATGTAAACTTGCGTTAGTATGACATTATGTCAACTTGGACGTGTCTGCAATGTTAAACTTGATATGTAAACGTATGCGTATATGTAAGCGCGTGTATGCTGTGTAAACTTGTGCGCCTATGACATGTGTTGTGCGTATATAATATGTAAATTTTATGCATGTAAACTTGTGTTTGTAAAGTTGTAAAGTGGTACTTGTATGTTTTATAAACTTATGCGAGGATGCTATCTAAACTTGTGCGCGTATGGCATGTGAATTTGTGCGTGTATGACATGTGAATTTGTGCGTGTATGTAATGTGAATTTGTCCGTGTATGACATGTAAACTTGTGCGTGTATGAAATGTAAAGTTGTGCGGGTATGACATGTAAACTTGTGCGTGTATGACATGTAAACTTGTGCGTGTATGACATGTAAAGTTGTGCGGGTATGCTAGCTACATTTTAACGTGTTTGTTTTGTAAAGTTGTACGTGCATGTTTTGTGAACTTGTGCGTGTATGTTATGTAAACTTGTCCGTGGATGGTATCTAGTCTTGAAAGTGTATGATATGTTAACTTGTGTGTGCATTCCATCTAAACGTACTGTGCCTGTATGTTATGTAAACTTGTCCGTGGATGGTATCTAGTCTTGAAAGTGTATGATATGTTAACTTGTGTGTGCATTGCATCTAAACGTACTGTGCCTGTATGTTATGTAAACTTGTGCGTGGATGGTATCTAGTCTTGAAAGTGTATGATATGTTAACTTGTGTGTGCATTACATCTAAACGTACTGTGCCTGTATGCATGTAAACTTGCCTGTGTATTCTATGTAGATATGGGCATGTATTTTGTGCAAGAAGCCAGTTCTGATGATAAGATCGAGATCAGATTTGATAATATTGCTGATCCATGAAATGAAATATAACAGTAGTTTCTGTCTCTATGAATTGTTGATCACATATCGAGGTGAGCTACAGCGACATGGTATTATGTATTGCATTGTTTCCTTTCTGTGTAAATTGATTCTAGTTCAGGTACAGGTAGATACATGGATTTTATCTACTTTTACGCAAGTGTGTGTTGTGCTGGACCGGCAGACAATGATATACCGTCGATTGATCTTTTTCAGGCGAGTTAAATGGTAGCACCAAGACGTGTACATTACACGTGCATGTAAGATTATTTCACACACAAATAAGTATTTGTGCGTGTAAATCAATATGAAACGTTTGGCCGCTACATTAAAACACATCAATACAACTGAAGTTTTACCTAATCCTGTATTTAGAGGACACTCAGCTTACTGCATTGATCGCAGGTTTACTATAGATCTTGTAAGATGAACGACATTATCTGTTGAACAAGTGACCCAAAGATGTGGGGATACATAATTTAGGAAATGATACATGCAAAACCTGAATAATATAATTACCCATTGGCAGGGTGATATAATTTAGTTATTTAGACGAGCTTACAACATTCATCTTACATTTGTGATGGAAACAATGAGGAACATGAATAAATATGCCCCAGCAAACACAGAACACTCATACAAACAACATGGTTGATACTGAGCTATCATTAAAACTTGTGATAAGATTATCAGCCTAAACTAAAGCAGCAGCCTCTTCAGTGACATTCTAAACGATACTCTGAACTCTTTATATAACGTCATGTACTTCCAGTAGGATACCATTTTTCACAGCTTTTTTACGTTAAATGCAATTATATTATATAAAATAAGAAAGCCTTACATACCTTGCATTTGGTCGTTACTTCAGAAACATTCGCCTTCAAGTGAGGAACCTATCACTAATGATCTTTACTGTTTGTGTTTGTCTGTCGCCAATGGATACATCGGCTTACGCTGGTTTATTTGTCATTATGACTTTACTCTGAAAAGAGTACCATCAAAAGGAGGTATGTGACATACTATTTGATCATTATGTGTAAATATTTCCAACACAGTTAAGGTCATGTAAATCTTGACACAAACACTAGACCGATTTGTTTTTTATTATTTCCGAAATATCCTGTGCCACGAAAGTAGGGGATGATGTGAATAATGAAGACATCTTGTGATGCAAATGGAAATGATAGTACTATATCTGCTTGGTAGAAGGTGATCAGATAAGTAATAAACCTATTCTTCGAGGTATGCTTCGACTTATGCTGTTCCATTCATCAGGGAGAGGTGGCCTAGTGGTTAAGGCGTTCGCTCGTCACGCCGAAGACCCGGGTTCGATTCCCCACATGGGCACAATGTGTGAAGCCCATTTCTGGTGTTCCCCGCCGTGATGTTGCTGGAATATTGCTAAATGCGGCGTAAAACTAAACTCACTCTCCGCATTTATCAGAGAGAGCAGCTAACAGTTCATTGCAGTTGTGGGTGGGTTTGACGTTGACGTGCACGACTGCCCCACACCTATTCAATGAGGGGAAATTGTTTGAGTTGCCTTGTAAAAGGAAAGGGTCACAGTTGACGTTTAGGTGTGTAAGTGTTTGGGATGTTCCTGGATGACTGGCAAATCCCAACTGGCTACACACTCGCACAAAGTGATCAAATGACGACGAATGTACCCTGTAAATCTCACACCACGATCTTTCAAAAGAATCTTCAACTGTGGTACAGTTTTGGATGAGATAATAGTGATCTTAGACTAAAAGTAAATAATATCGTCTGTCGACAAAACAATCAGCGAGTCAAGCTGACAGCAATTGTTTACGTGTTACCATGCCCTTGGTCACGTGTCATAAGGGATAGATAATTCTAAATGGTAAAACTGGAAAATGGCTTATTGAAGGATTTCATATACAGGGGGAGAATAAGGTTTTTCAAGTATGTAGTGACGGACAGGTAGGCCATAGCATGACCACATTTGACTGTTAGCCAGGTGAGCTAAAAATCGGTAGCAAAACGTGGTTTTCTTACATCGCCTTGCAAGATAAAGATCACTGAAAAGAAAAAACTTTGATAAACCCTTACCAATTTATTGATAATGTAATAGGGCACAAGAAATAAAAAACAGTATAGAATAATTACACCGCATTGCGTCTAGTGAAGGCTTGGTGAAGAACGTTTTAGAAAATGTTTGTCCAGTATACCTACA